ACACACACACACACACACACGCACACACACACACGCATTATTCTTCATTTTCCCCTTCAATTTCTCATGAATTACTCTTGAAAACACTTAATCATCTCTATAAAGAACATTTTATACACACACACACACACACACACACATACACACACACACACAAACACACATTATGCTTCATTTTCCCCTTCAATTTCTCATGAATTACTCTTGAAAACACTTCATCTGAGATGAATCACCCCCAAAACTTCCTCTCGGAATTCCTCTAAACAGCGTCACCCATAACAGAGAACAAACTGCCCCCTCGCAACCCAAACCCCCCGCCCCCACACCCCCAAAGGCGGAATGTCCTTGGCTGGCTTGTCACTGGGTGTGTTTGTGTGAGAGCAGGAAGTGGGTGAATGTGACGACTGTGGGGAGAACAAGCAACAATGTGCCACGCTTACCACTTCCTGTCCTGGTGCTTGGGCGACTTTGCCACAGAAACGGCCGGAGAAGCTGGTGTGGAGTGACTCAAGCGCACGCGCGTGTGCACACACGCACACACACGCACGCACACACACACACACACACACACACACACACACACACACACACACACAAACAATCTAAATTTGTTTGGTTGACCTTATTCCAGTAAAACCAATGAACTGGCAAATATTGCGCAAATATTAGTTTAAAATAAACAAAAAAAGATTTTCAAAAACTTAACAATCTGTAGTTTGGCAAAAATTAAAAAATGGTAAACCATTTTGTCATGAAAAACAGATTATAAAAAATGTCAGATGTTTTTTTTTTCTAAAAAAAAAACCTCACAACAAATAAGATTTTTAAACAACAATAAAAAAATCCGTAGCAGTGTGAAATTATGAAAATACCGGTAAATGATTTGAGAAAAAATCTCTCGGTGTTAAAAATGATTGTCTTTGTTTTTAAAAAAATGGAACAGTGCAGAAATATTTTAAAAAAATCTTCAAAATAACACCAAAGATTTCACGCAAAAAAAAATCTTTAAATTCTGCTGCCCCCCCCCCCCCCCAAAAAAAAATTTGCATCAATCGAGAAACATCTCACAAAACTTACATTTTTTTTGGCCTTTTTTAATGTAGAATTTCTCTTTTTTTTATTTTTATTTTTTACATGTTTTGAAAAATGTTTACTTTTGTAATTCTGTGCCACCACACAGCATTTGAACCTCAAGCTGCGGTGGAACTGCTGCTGCCATTACTTTTGCTCTCCGCTTCTTTTCATTCAACATTTTGAAATGTAGTCTTTCATTTGATAACGCCTTTATTTGAACATTTCAAGCTTCAGACCAAACAGCCGATGCCAGAAAATAAACAGGGAAACAGAAAGAAAGGTTGGCAAGAAACATTCTTGTTGCACAAAACCTGAAGAGAGGAAGCTCGTCCAAAATAAAAACCTACTCACTTCCTCTCAAAGTAGTTTCAGAATAAAAGTCCCAGCCTGGCTTTACACAACTGTGGATGGACAGGCACCCAAGACAATGTGTGTTTGTGTGTTGGGAGTCGTAATGATTGTCAGTTACACACACAAACGCACACACCGAACACAATTGAACCCGAGCCACACAGTGGCACTGCAATTAAAAGCATGTCAAAAAAAAAAAAAAAACAACCATTTACAATGGCTTCTCGTTACTCTTATTATTACTATAATAATATTGATACAGCTCAATAAAAGACACAGCCAGGCACATTTACAGTGGCTATGTAGCTACAAAAAGGGACACACACACTCTCTAAACAAATCAATCACACGTCAATTCCTTTTTTTTTTTGCAACCTAACAATAAGTTTTTTGTTGTTGTTTTATATTAGCTGCATTGTGTCATGTTGAGCATTGGAACTGTTACAAAAGGCATATTATTTACACACATGGCGTGTTCATTTGTGGACGTTAAATTGAAACTAGAGTTAACGTACTTGATACTCATTGGGCACAGATTTCAGGTCACCTGCACAATATTAAATATATATATTTTTAAAAGCTGTTTGCGTAATACACCGAGAGCTCTCTCTAATATTTCTGTTAGCTACATGAAGGCTATGCAGGTGCACCTCATAAAATGTAGTTGCAAAGAAGAGCTTAATAAAGAATTAAAAATGTTGAAATGTATTTCTTTGGCAACAAACAAAAACAAAAACAATGTAAAAGAAACAGCATCTTCGGTGAAAAAAATGCTTATGTGGACAGAGGAACCTCAGAATTTGTAAATGGATCTCTAAAGTCGTGCAAAAATGTTGAGAAAAAAAAGCATGTTTTGGGCAAATTTTCTAGAAAAAAAACTATTGACAATGAGTGTTTACATCTTTGTAATATTTTCACGGGAAATCTATCAAGCTTTGCAAAAGTGATTTTTTTAAAACATTTTTTTTGCTGAAATATTCTGGAATATTGCAAAATTACAAAAGAAAAAAAACAAAACCTCACTAAAGACACCGCATAACCATAGAAACATTTTTATTTAGTTATACACTATTGAAAAATGTTTCCAAAGTCATGCAAAAAACGAGGGAAAAATTTCAAGGAAAGAAAAAAAATGCAAACGAATGCAAGCCTAAAGTCGCACAGGAGTTGCAAAAATTATGAGGAAAAATCTTGGCAGTTCTATTTTTTTTTTTTTAATAAATTCATTTTAGAAAAATCTCCCAAAACAAACCCCAAAAAATATTCATGCAAAAATTTGAGCAAAACTTTCAGCATTGCATTTTTTTACTTGACCTGAAACATTTTTGCTTTAGGGGACAAAATAAAGAAACCCCAAAATCGAAAAACCATGCAAAAAAATTGAAAAACATTCATTTATACAAAAACTTTCGCAAAAATAGTCGAAACTAGTGCTAAAATGCTAATTTTAGCTGCAATCTGTCTCACAGCCAAATCCTTTTCACATCACAAAGTTTGACAAAACATTGTTTTACACTCAAGTGACACTTGAAATGTTCCTCTAACATTGCTGTACCGTTAAAACTTTCCTGATGGCCATATCTGACGATTACTATTTTTTTTACATGCCAACAAATCAGTCAGGAGGTACCACAGTATCATCTCCAATGTTTGCCAGACGCGCAGTGGTTCATTCTTGATGACATCTTCAGATAGCGACGCATGAACAGAACAAGATGACCTATACGTGTGTTTGCGTTCTGATTACAAATGTTGCGACATGCAGTGGGTGGCAAATCGAAGGCAACTCTCCCAGAGAGCGACACAAGCTCGTCACTTTTTTTTTTTTTTTTTTTGAGCAACGATTGGCAAGTGACTCGACACGCAACCTGGAAGGATTTGACGGACTTTTTTGGGGGGGTGATGCTTGTAGGAACACGCAGTGGCCACACGGAGGCGCTTTTCCAAATGTTAAGTAGCATTTTCCAATGTGACGTAATTGGTCCAGAAATTCAGATTCTACAAATGATGTATCTTTGTTGAGCAACCAATGTCAGCAACATATAGTGACAGGCAGAACATTTAAATGCTCTTCCTCTAGATAGCAGAAGTTCTACTTTATCTTTCTATCAATAAAAAGTAGACACTGACAAATTCTCCTGTTTGGGGTTTTTGTTGTCTTTTTTGACATTTTCGGTTGGGAAACAGCCAAGCAGCTGGTTTCTCATGTGTGTATGTGAGAGGTCTGGTTTCTCGTGTGTGTGTGTGTGTGTGTGTGTGTGTGTGTGTGTGTGTGTGTGTGTGTGTGTGTGTGTGTGTGTGTGTGTGTGTGAAAGAGCGAGAGAGAGAGAGAGAGAGAGAGAGGATGTACATTTAATGTTTAGATCAGAATTTTTATTTTTTTTTCAGATAATAGTGTTTTGGATTAAAAGCATTTTAAAGATGTTTTTGGCCCCCCCCCCCCCCCCCAAAAAAAAAATCCACATCTTTGTAGGGTTGTATTTTTATTTCAAAATTTTTGCACGGCAACAGATTTTGGTGAGTTTTTTTTTTTTTTTTTAATAGCAGACTTTAAAGATTTGGGGGGGGGGGAAATGTAAAAAAACAAAAATATATAATTTTTGTGACGAGATGGTTTGCAATCTTTTAAGGTGACGCATTCCCCCCCACACCACCCCAAAAAAAATCTGAAGCTTGCCCTGCTACAAACTTTTCCTCCCAATTTTTTCAAACAGTTTTAAAAAATTGCAATTTCCCCAACTTCCAGGGATTTGGATTTCAAAATGAGTCAACTGTGTATGTGTTTCTTTTCCATGTAATGTGATTGTCTTTGCGCATGATAGTCATAAAGTTTGATCCAACAAATGAACCCCCCCCCCACCCCAAAATGAAATTACTCTTCTGTGGAGCTATTTTTAGTGTGCTGTGTTCCTTTAAGAGCTTATCAAACAATGTCTCACTCATCCGCTTTGTTGTGAGATGCACGTCCACACGTGCACATGAGTCTATCCTCACCACAAATAAAAAAAAAATAAATAAATGAGGCATCATCATAAAACGGATGTCCTTATTCTTTTTGATGTCCGTTCCAACTGTGCATCCATCCAACAATTTAGAAAAAGGCAATCCACTTTTTTCACGCTGTCAGATCTGAGATGACCAGTTTTTCTATCTTATTCCCGATCTCAGCCGGAACCTGGAGATCGTCCACGTCATAGTCCTCCTCAAAAGATCTGGAATCACATTGGAGCGCGTTAGCGAGCGACGCAAACGCTTTGAATGAATGGAAAAGAAGATTATTTTTGGTACCCTTCGTGTATCTGCTCATTGGCAGTCTCCTCCGCCACCAGTATCTCGTATTCCTCCGAGGCATATTTATCCCAGTCGGACGGCTCGGGACCATCACTGTCGAGGTCCTGGTAGGGCCACACAAGTTTTGACAAGAGAATATAGAGTGATCGGATGATTAATCACGAGAATAAAATGAGGGACAGAGAATTGACAGTCCCGTAACTACTGAGCTGGATTGAATCTCCGCGTCCGTCTGTCTAGTATGACACTTCGAACCAAAATGGCTGACTTCCTGTTTCAGGGATGGGTTCTTCAGACTTTTTTGTGGGTCTACTCTTGATAGACATTCATACAAATTTTCATGTTGCAGAGTCAAACGGGCTTAAAACAATCCTCGAGCCAAAATGGGCACTTTGAACTGAAATGGCTGACTTCTTTTAGGACACGGCTATTTTTTTGTGGGTCTACTCATGATAGATGTGGCGTGATGCACGAAGTTCAAGTTGCCAAGTCAAAGTTAAGCTTCTGTATTTTTGAAAGCATCTGAAGTGTGCCACCAAGCTAAAATGGGCACTTAGAACCAAAATGGCTGACTTCCTGGCTTCTTGAGACTTTTTTTGTGGGTCTACTTATCATTGACAAAAAAAATAAATAAATGTAAATGTTAGCAGTCATGAATGACAATGTCCGGGGGCGAGGTTTGCATCCCCCAGTTAGCTGTAAATTTCCACTGGGATGAACATGCCGGCAAATATTTCTATTTATATACTTTTTGTCTTCTACTTTCTCCCTTTCATAATTTTGCTGCTGTAAATTGGGAATTTCTCCACTGTGAGACAAATAAAGGTTTTCTTATCTGCCGCTGTCCAGTCAAAGCATTGAAAGGCTTCTACCGGTACTTTTTCTCTGGCACGTGGGGAGGCTTTTGTCATTTCATGTCCAATTTCCGATCCATTTTCAGCACACTTGAGTCCCGTGCTTTGTGCCCACCTTGTGCACAGCAAAGGGGTCTCTCTGTTCGTGGTCCAAGTATTTCTCCAGGTTGAAGAACGTGTCGAAGAAGATGTGAGCCATGCGGCATCGCTTCAGGTCACCCAGCGTAATTTTGCCTGAGAGGAAAAAAAAAAACGTTGTGTGTTACGTGAAGCGGGCGCGGCTGAGGAAATGCGTCTTTGCTGGTATCGACCTGAGCTCTCCGGTTTGACCAAGTCGAGCATTTGGCACAGCAAGTCTTGGAAGGGCAGCGGTTCGATGCCCATTCGCTCCATGCGCTCGCACTGCTCTTCGTAGAAGTACTCCAACTCGAACATGGACAGGACGCCGTCGCCGTCCACGTCCATGCAGCGGAACCAGTACTCGATGCTGGCGGGGGAAACAGCGAGGGCAAATTACAGCTTTCGGGTGACTTTGGCGCATCGGCACTGGGGTTTGATTTCTCACCTCGTGGGATTTTTCTTGTCCTCTTCAGAGATGAGAAACCAGACAAACTCAGCGTAGCTCATGCGACCTTCCCTCTGCACGGCGTTGCCCCTGGCGACCAATCACACGGCCAGTTTAAAACGGACGATTGGGCTCACTCGGGTCCATTTGCGCGTTGAGCGCTTACCGTGTCACGGCGCCCGAGAACAACCTCTCGATGATTCTGTTGGAGGACGCTAAAGGGAGGATAGGGGAAGGTGTCGCATGTCAACAAAGGCGGCCATTTTGTTTCTGCTGAGTTGGATATGCATGACTAATTAGGCCTCGTCATATAAAATCACATCGTATTTAGGTCTGGGGTCTGGCTGGGCTGAAGTCATGGTGCAGATGGTTAAATCAACTGGATGACGGTTAAGACTGGTCAAGAAGGAGAACAGGTCAGGTCAAATTTGAGCAAAAAGTCAGAAAAAAATTCACACATAAAATCGTTTTTTTTTTTAAAGGAAAAAAAAATCGGGAAACTTACATTTGTTTAAAAAAAAAGGAATCAAAGGAAAAAGTCATGAATCCATTACAAGAAATTGTGCAAAAAGTCAGAAAAATTACATCATGAAAAAAGTAGAAAATCAAATTCGTGTGAAAAAAAAAATTCTGGAAAATAAAGCTCATTTTTGCCCCCAAGCGTGAGGAAAATAAAATTAATCGTGGAAAATCGCGAAAATAGAACAAAATACTTCCTTTTGTAAAAGAATCTGGTTATAAAAATAGAAATAAAAAGGTAAAAAGTCATGAAAAAAAACATTGGGCAAAACATCTGAAAAATCGAATGAGCTAAAACCTTGGGAAAATAATGTACGCGTTTAGTCACGACATCATCATGTTAAAATGTTCCTTAACGCCTCACCTGCGCAGCTCACAAACGTTTCAAGACAAAAGCTTTGACGCGCCACCATTTTTCCGGTTCAAATTGTCTGGCGCCCTCACCGTGGTCATTGTATCGGGCCAGGTCCTTGTGATCGATGTAGAGGTCGTGGTCGCTGTCCAGCTCCCAGAACTTGCAGTAGATGACGTAGAAGTGCTCGTAGGAGAAGTAGTCGGTGATCTGGTTGATGTCGTCTTCCTCCTCCAGCAGCGCCAGCGTCTGCAGGAAGTTGCTGCGCCGCAGCTCCGTCATGGAAACGCGGCCTGTCCACGAGCGGTTCACCACGTAGAAGATCCGTTGGATGACCTGCCGGGACAGTCGCCAAGGACGATTATGCTTGAGTACGAGAAACACTTGAATTCATGTAAATTATTTTCATTTTTTTTTTAAATTCAGGGTACCTGTGTTAAAAAAAAATAAAAATTACATTTTTTAATTATCTTTATTTGAAATTATTTTTTGATTTTGAGAAAGACAAAATGTGCACGATAATAAATCCATTTTAAAATACGCGCGTGCGCTTGACTGCACGAGGGAAGTTCAAGTTCAACAATGTGACGCTGAGCCACTTCCTGGTTCTTGTAGCATGCGGCTAATGTGTCACGGACGGCAAAATAAAACCGGTGAGCTGGACTCCACGGAAGGAAGTGTCCTAATATGGGCATGGAAAGGGCCACAGAGGACATTGCGGGGTCGGGGGGGGGATTTGCTGCATACAAGGCTGTGCTGGCCATCAGTTTCCGTGATGGATTTCAAAGCTGCATTTGCAGACCGCACACGCGTGACGGTTATGTTGCAGTTTTTCAAATATAATCTAAAGCAGGGGTGTCAAACATACGGCCCGCGGGCCGGATCCGGCCCGCAAAGGAGTTTAATCCGGCCCGCGAGATGATTATGTAAAGCAGGGGTGTCAAATATTAATTCTGTGTCTTTAATGCATTTTTTTCACTTTTACATTATCCTGCGGGCCTGATTGAACCTACTTGCGGGCCGCAGGATAATGTAAAAGTGAAAAAAATGCATTAAAGACACAGAATTAATATTTGACACCCCTGCTTTACATAATCATCTCGCGGGCCGGATTAAACTCCTTTGCGGGCCGGATCCGGCCCGCGGGCCGTATGTTTGACCAATTACTTGTTAAAGTTTGTACAATCAGTGGGATCAGTTGCAATGCATATATGTGAATGATAAAAGTAAATTGCACATTTGTCGAAGGAAATGTAAGGTGCTTCATGAAATGTTTTGTAAAAGATATGTTCATTAAATTTCAACATTTTCCTAATGTTCTTGTGCTTCTTTATACCAAAACAAAGGAAAGACATATTGTTTTGGTTATTTATAGCAAAGTATTGTATCATTTTAATGGTCCGGCCCACTTGACATCTACCGAGGCCGTATGTGGCCCACCATGTGAAATGAGTTTGACACCCCTGATCTAAAGAGTGTTTTTTTTTTTAATTACCGTTGTGATGTAGCGAGAATGAAACTCGGGCGCATCCTTCAGAAACGTGAGTCCGGGATGCGTGTCCACGATGTCCTAAAACAAAACAGGACAAATAGTTTTGTTGTGACTAAATGAGGACACAGATGGATTTCACATATTTGATTATGTCATCAAAACACCTATTTGAGAGATTCTTTCAGAGCAGAGTAGGACTTAACGTACAATCAACCAAAATAAATTACAAAAAAATATGTTTTCATGTCAATACTGGTCAAATATAATACATATGATAAACTAAAATGTATACAATAAAATGTATTTTAAAAAGCTCATAAAATAATCATGAAAAAAAATAATTACATCTATTAGTCATAAAATAAAACAACAAAATCATGGTAAATTGTAAAAAAACAAAACATATGAAAAAAAGTATCAAATTAAAATAAAAGAAAATGACATTTGATGAAGTAATATTGCAACAATGTAAAGCTTTGTAACTAAGATATAAATGTAAAAAAAAATAAAATAACATAAAAAAATGTATATACTCAATTACATTTTGTCGAAAATGCCAATGTATGAAATGAAAATGGAACAAAGTAACGCCGAGGAAAGCAATTTGACCTGCAGAAGAGGAATGAAGTCCTCCTGCTCCAGATATTGACAGCCGGGTTTGGCGAGCAGGTGAATAAACCGTGAGGCGTCGTCGTGGCAACCGTGCAGCAACCTGCAGGAGCGGCCAAGCGTTTTTTTTAACATTTTTCGAACTTCAATCCAGACCGGCGGCAAATGCAACCTACTTCCTCCAGGTGGCGACGAAGGAGTGAACCGAGACGAAGCCCGTTCTTTCGCCGCCGGCCCCGTAGAACATGGCCGCCTTCCAGTACAGCGGACACTCGCACGCCTGCAGGGAAAACCGCCGTCCAACAAATTTTTTTTCCCAGTTTTGCAGTGTAACTGATTAAAAATGCTTTGTTGATTTATCTTGGGCTTTTTTTTTTTTTTTTTTTTTTTTTTTTAATCACACAAATCTGTTACCTTCGCGACCTTGCTCATCTCGTAAATATCGGCCTTCTCCTCCTCAAATTCAGCAAAGGCCGCTTCGATGGCGGCGATGGCCGCGTCGTGGTTGGCTGGCGGGCCCGCGGCAGGTAGCCCACGTGGGTAGTAGAACCTGGGAATGTTGATGGCAGGAGGAGGAGGAGGAGGAGGAGACGGGATGATGATCACCGGAGCAGCTGGGGGTGGGCTGGGTGAGCGTTGCGAGGGCGCGTGCGAGACGGCGGACGCCTGAGCAGGCGCCGGTGGCGGCGTGCCGGGTTTCTTCTCCGCTTTGGACTGGACCTGAAGTGAAACGCGGAGGATGATGTCGTGAGAAATTGCAATCGCTGTTCTCGGAACATTTTTTTTCCAGTTGTGTTCTTTGGCTCCGGGTATGTTCTGACGTGACCGTCACGTTTGTACTGCCTATTTGTTGTAATTAAGACTCAAAAGAAAAGTTGAGCGTTTTGGGATTTCCGTTGGATACATCGTCAGCGAGAAACATTCCAAGAACCGGGGAGAAGGAATTCCAAGCAGGGCATTTGCCCTGGGGAGCTCGTGTAGGAAATTCCGAACAGTATAAATAATTTCATCCCAACAAATATGATCCCTAAACACTGTGATATCAATTCAAACTCAACTTCTAACCTTGCCCTTCAAATTACAGATGAGTGAAATTTTGAACAGCCGCATCGAAAACTCTGAAAGCGACGACGGACACCGAACGGAGCAGCGCTGAGGCCGCGTGTGAAGCGAAATGCCTAAAAGGCGGCCCGCTTCAGAAGTCGGCCATCTTGAAATGAACAAAGACTGACTATTCTGGTCACGCCCCCAAAAATCGGAATATTTACGCTACATATAGGTGGATAGGCTACATGTACAAAACATTAGGCAACAGGTGGATATAGCACTTTTTATTTGGGAGGAAGGATGTATCGCGTTTTTTTTGTTTTGTTTTGTTTTGAAACCGAAATCGCAATTCCACATGATGTCATGGCAACAATGGTTATCGCTGCAAGATGACGAGAAAATCACAATGTCCCATCAATGGTGAGCTATTTTTGAGAACAGGCCCACGGGCTACTCATGCGGGCTACCTGGTGGCCGCGGCGGGCACCACGTTGGTGACCCCGGCGCTAATCACCGGGAACATTGGTTGATTTTGTTTTGACATTGAAATCACAATGAATAAAAACGATTATTTATTCATTTATCGTCACGCGTTTAGTTTTAGTCAAGTCCAACTAGGAGTGTCATTACACAATTTAAAGGATGCACAAAAGGAGGACACAATCAAAGTATCAAGGTGCATTCGGGGGTACTTTGGTAAAATCCCAAATCAAAATTCCATTTTCATGAATTGTCCAGCCGTGGAAACGTCTCCGCTTCATACCCCAAAACAACAACACAGGAAGTTGTTAGCATGCGGTGGCCATTTTGCACAGTGCCTGTATTGAGCCTGACAGCTGTCACTGACCCCCCCCCTCCCACCTTATCCTCTGCATTCATTCTATCACTCTATTTCTGCGCCTCCCGTCTATTAATACCCTGCTGGTATCTGCCTCAGAATAGTTTGTCATTCCCGGCATGTCCTATGTGAGAAAAGCAATACAAATACAACATATTTGAGTGATTCGCGTTTTCCGTGCTGCTACCTTGCGGCGTTGCCAATCGCCGCCGCTTGCACAAACTGACCTGCTGCTGTTGCTGCTGCTGCTGCTGTTGCTGAAAAGACTTGAGTCTTTTCTTGAAGCGCGACGGCAAGACAAAGTCACAGCCCCGCGCCAGAAAGGCCAATTCACCCCTCAGGTCGGGGTCCCGGCGCAACGACGTCTCCTTGATCATCATGTTTGGGGGTCTCCGCACGCCAAAACTCCCCCGCCCGCCAATGTCCGGTTAGAGATCCCACAAAAAGATCCAGAAAGTAGCCCAGAACCTTCTCCTCCAGACACTGTGGTGGTAATCCAGCATGCAAGGTTCCTGCGTAAGAAGACCACCCGAGCATGATCCACTATCCAGGGGCTAGCAAACCCTGCGGTGTCCCCCCCGCTCACGCAGCCTCTCTAACTAGAGCCTGCCGCTCCACAAGCTGGGCTCGGAACCAAGCGCACTGAGAAACATGAGCCTTACCGGAGTCGGTCAACACGGATTTACACAGTTTACCGGTGAAGAAGGGGCGGGGTGGCGTTTTACACCCCCCCCCCCCCCCCACTACCACCACCACATTCAGCAAAGGGCGCTTGCTTGTGAGTGGGCGGGGCAATCAAGGAGGAACTATTTCCAAAGAGGTAATTTTGGGACGGCGTGATGAATCAGCAATTGACACTTCGGTCGAGTTCCAGGAAGTTTGTCACCCGGTCCTGAAAATTTAACATACCCTGTGTTGAACTGGTGCCTCACTCATCATGATGAGCATTTTTATGGATATACTACAGAGGCAATTTTTGAGAATATAACACTGTACTGGAAATATTTACAAAAACTGTCATATATAGAAAGTAATTCTAAATACATATAGACCCTATCTATATTGAGATGAATGTCTTATTTAACAATATATGTATTATTTGAGGTGGACAACAGTGTCGACACGAGACTTCCAACAGAGTAAAAAATAAACACCTCTCTGACCATTATTACCTTTGTAAAGACACGTTTTTTTTGGGGGGGGGGGTTTTTTTGGTTTCTTGAATTTAGATTCCATGAGATTTCGCAGGAGTACCTAATAAAGTGGCCATTGTTTGGCCCAAACTGTTGCAAATGTCTCCAGCTGTTTGCACATTCCATAAGGAAAGCAAGCTTCTCGCAATCTGCTCCTGGAATAAACACCTTTTTTTTTCCCCTTTTTCTTTTCGTTTTCCTCAAATGGTGTCAGTGGGGAATATGGCGCCCTCTAGTGGTCGTAATCAGCACCTACAATTACAAAGAAATAACTATCCAGGTGTTGTTGTCCCGAAAAACTCAGTCTTTGTTTGTTAGCATTATATTATTATTATTATTCGTTTTTTAATACTTCATATGTGCTCGTGATTTTTCCATATCCTGTTCATAGAGGAACTCGGCTGTGTGCACCCCTGCTGAATTCTTTGGATCAACTCCACTCTGTACTGAAGCCAAAGTCGCATACCGATTCCACACACACACTCACACACACACAGCAGGACACGCACACAAACACACTTTTCCTGATGTGCTGAAGAGGAAACATTAATCACTGTATCTTGTGACGATCAACAGACGAGCGCCATGCAAAGAGGATGTTACGTCGACTCGTTTGTTATTAAAATGTGCCTGTTGGAATTGCTGCGCACGTTACTCTACTGACATTATCATAAATATGCCTAACAGTGTTTTCCTTAACCAATACAATGTGGCAAGGCCCCAACACATTACTGTAATTCATAGAATACATTTTTTATAAATTCACTTTTAGCAATTATAACAGTCAATCAAATACACATTTTACTATCTGGTATATAATCACGATTAAGATTTTTTTTCCCCCCTTAGTTTTTCCCCTTCTGCGACCAAACAATTTTTTTTCCAAGCATTAACAGAGAGAAAGACGAAGAAGCCATGCTAATTGCTAAGCTAAGCGGCTAACGTTATCGCAAAAGACTACAAGTAAGTGCTTGGGTGATCCGAGTACACTTTTCAGAGGTCATAAAATAGCAGGGAGGAGTGGCTAAAACAGAACAAGATGCTTATTGTCTCGTTCGTGCAACGCTAATATAAAACCAGTCAACTCACAAGCTAGCAAAAAGAGTCAAAAAAAAGAAAGAAAAAAAAAAGTAGAGATATTTGGAAAGTTTCTTGATAACGGGAGAAAGGTCCAGTGTCCCACGCTCCAGGCCCGCTCTGCACAAGTTGAGGCAAGTGGCTCTCGATTTTGCGTTCTGGTGAGATATATATAATTTCACGCACTTTAGATTTGTTTTGTGGTGCCTTGTTACATTAAAAAAATTGGCTGTAAGTTTCTTATTTCTACAAACCAACCCCATTTTATGTGTTTCTCCTACCATTCGCGCACTTTATTTTTGATCTGCAGTCTCTGCTGCACATTTAAGCGTTAACATCGGGACCATATTAAAGCGCCGTTGTCTTTGTTATGGTGTTGGAGCCGCTAGGAGAGGTACTTAAAAATACACAATTGATAGCTTGATAGTAAGATGGCGAGATAACTTGATAGCTATTTTAACGGTGAGGGGGCGGGGGGCGGTCATGAAAAATGTCATTGTTGTTTTCTATAAACAAAGGGGGAAAACAATCCATTCAGAAATCGTGTTTTGTGTACCGGCCGTGGGTCACAGAAGGACAAGTGAACCAGGAAAGGGGAATAAAGATAACAGGTGTGCCTTTTGCAGAGCACGTCCCCTTTTCCCGCCGCGCTACGGCAACAGGCAAGTCGGTCCAATGAAGGCATGATGGGAAGATAAGTGGTTCGAAGAGGGAGCCTGGGGGGGTTCCAGCTGTCCCGCAGCGCCAACTGTGACGCTGAATGTGTGCACGCCACTTCCCAGGAACGACGTCTCCGCGGAGAATAGCGTGTACAAAGCGACTTCCTCAAACACCTGCTAGGAGCAACTCTTGCCAGCGGCTGTTTGCAAAATGATCCGCATACACATCGCATCTCCATTGCATGTTTATTTCTGCTTGGGGTGCTAGGCAGATTCCAGGCATGGTACGCTCAGTCAACGACAAAGTTTCTTTTTGGACCACCTTGAGAAAAATCTGCAGCATTGGTAATTGCCAGAATCATTTTTTCATAGGTTTACGATGCCATTTTGAGGGTGTTCCCGATTGCAAAAACTTTTTGCAGGCAGCTCCAAATTCACACCTGATAGGGGACGCAAGCGTGGCCCCAAAAATTGACTGTGTTGGACCTCGGAGATCAAAATAAGAATTTAGACCCCAAAGCCTGTTTCACTTAGCAACGCAAAAGTTTGGTAGCCAAGTTTATCATGAGTAGAACACAATAAAAAAAAAGTCTCAAGTCAGCGATTTTGCTACAACTCTAGCAGCCTTTGAACGTTCTTAGAAATTCTCACCCTGAGAATGATTTCCCATACCAAAACAAAATTTAGTCGCCGTTTCTATCACAAATAAAACAAACTGACTTAACAACATGGAATTTGGTAGTCAAGTTAAGTCATAAAGCAGATTCACAAAAAGGTCTCAAGAACTCATGCCCAAAAAAAGTTAGGAATTTTGATTCTAAATACCCGTTTTTATGTTCTTAGAAAATCAGCCCCCAAAGACAGTTTGAAATTAGCAACATGAAATTTAGATGCCATGCCTATCAT